TCGGTCACCCTCTTTCCTTTTCCGATTTTACCAAACCCTAATTCATTTTCGGTCAACTGGTTCACAACAGTTATCATTGTACATTTGTTCCTAATCGAGTGGCAGGTTGAGGGAAGACAAAATCCACCATGACTAAGGCCTCCGGGCTGGGTGGTCGATCCTAGTGTTGGGTCGTGAAGACACGGATAGCTCGAGCAGACCTCGGAGGCAGGTCGGGGATTTCTATTCGGTTCTATTTGATCTGGTACTATTGTATATTTGTTCCTAACCTCAAAGGCAGGGAGATGGGATTCATTCCGTCACGAGCAGGTTGATTGCGTTTTATTTGATTATGTTTCTGTCGAATTGATTTTTCGACTTCAGTGGCGGGTCGAGTATATTCATTATGGCTTGAGCAGGTTGATTGCGTTTTATTTGATTATGCTTCTGTCGAAATGATTTTTCGACTTCAGTGGCGTGTCGAGTATATTCATTATGGTTTGAGCAGGTTGATTGCGTTTTATTTGATTATGCTTCTGTCGAATTGATTTTTCGACTTCAGTGGCGGGTCGAGTATATTCATTATGGCTTAAGCAGGTTGATTCTCGGTTTTTGACCTCAACGGTCTCTTGATTCTCGGTTTTTGACCTCAATGGTCTCTCAATTCTCGGTTTTTTACCTCAACGGTCTCGACTCTTGGTTTTCGACCTCAACGGTCTCTCGATTCTCGGTTTTTGACCTCAACGGTCTCGACTCTCGGGTTTCGACCTTAGCGGTCTCGACTCTCGGCTTTCGACCTCAACGGTCTCTCGACTCTCGGTTTTCGACCTCAACAGTCTCGATTCTCGGTTTTTGACCTCAGCGGTCTCGACTCTCAGTTTTCGACCTCAGGGGTCTCGACGTCTTGACTCTCGGCTTTCGACCTCAGCGGTCTCTACTCTCGATTTTTTACCTCAGCGGTCTCGACTCTCGGTTTTCGACCTCAGCGGTCTCGACTCTCGGCTTTCGACCTCAGCGGTCTCTCGACTCACGGTTTTCGACCTCAACGGTCTCGATTCTCGGTTTTTGACCTCAGCGGTCTCGACTCTCGGTTTTCGACCTCAGCGGTCTCGACTCTCGACTTTCGACCTCAGCGGTCTCTCGACTCTCGGTTTTCGACCTCAACAGTCTCGATTCTCAGTTTTTGACCTCAGCGGTCTCAACTCTCAGTTTTCGACCTCAGCGGTCTCGACTCTCAGCTTTCGACCTCAACGGTCTCTCGATTCTCGATTTTTGACCTCGGCGGTCTCTCGACTCTCGATGTTCGACCTCAACAGCAGATCATTCAGTTTTCGACCTCAGTTGACGTTCGACTTCCGGTGTTCGACCTCAGTGGCAAGTCATTAGGTTCTTGTCTTTATTGACAAATCTTTCGGTTTTCGACCCCGACGTCATATCATTCGATTTCCGACCTCCGTGGTCTTTCGATTTTCGATCTTGAAATCTCAAAGCTCATTTGGAGGATATTTCAGTGGTTATTCAATGGTCATTCGACTTTCGATGCTCGATCTTAGTGGCAAGTTGAAGAAAACAGCTCGAAGAGGCATTTTACTCTTGGATCGAGTTATGCTTACTCGACCAGAGTGGGGGGGAATATATATTGGAAGATAAGCCCACGTATGGACTAAGCATCATGATATGGGCCAAGCCCAACTTGAGCCCACAAAGGTACACTCCCCCTATAAAAGGGGGGTTAAGGTACCTCATTCTCTGATTCTCTCTTGATTTCATTACGACACTCTCTAT